AAAACAAAGCAAGATTGAAGATCCCCCACCAAGCCAAGACCCAATTTGGTGGTCTCATCTCATGAATTGAAATCACCGATGGAGCTCTTCAAGAATCATTAGGAGTCATTTAGAGTCTCTCAAACCCTTCCAATTCCAAATGATAACTCTTAATTAGCATCGCAGATAAATTATGTAATCACTCGTGTGATTAAATTTGGTGGCATTTTAGACACAAGCACTACTCCTTTCTTCTTTTTCTCAGGCACACAAATTACTACTAGCCTGTAAAATTTTTTATTTTAAGGAATTACTCTATTCACTATAACAGCATTGGACCCTAATCTAAATAATTACATGGATATTTTGGACATTTAACCTAATTAATCCCTGAAAAAAGAATCTTTGGGGAGCATGGGATGACCCGAGAATTTTCTGATTCTTGCAAAAAGAGCAGAGAAAATCTGAACAGATAAACTAGTAGAATCCGAGAGATAATGCTTCACAGAAGATATATAGCTAGTCTGTTACTAGCCTCAGCTTTATTATTAATTTTGTGAAAGAAAAATCCTTTGGAAAACCTTTTATCAATAAATCTGAAACTCCATATTTAGAACTCAGCTCTTGTGCAAAACCAGCATCATCTTCATGGCACGCACGCATTTCCTCCTGGTTCACATCATCACTGCCACTGGCTCGAAGGTTTTCCATTTTGTTGTCAAAACGAAATTCTTTCACAGCTTGTATCCAAACTAAAAGGTACTGAAATGACATAAGATATGGAGAGAACAGAAAAGGAAAAATGAATCTCAATCACGCAAAACAAAATCAGCTACCCCATGTCTAGATTCAAAACTGATCTGGGTCACAAAAGGATGATCAAGAAGCTCACCCACAGTCCCTCTCTTCTTCCAGTCCTTCTCTAGACACCTCCTAACAAAGCTTTGAATCCTGCTGGATGCACTCTTCGGCATTTGCAATCTCTCCCCAAAGCATATAGCACACACCAATGCTGCCCAGTCTGGTTTCTCTCCACAACCAATCAATGGATAATGACCCACTAGGCACTCCAAAACTACCACCCCAAGCGACCAAACATCTCCTGCGAATCCATGATCTCCATTTCCATCCCATCTCTCAGGATCAATTCTCTCAGGACTCATGTAAGCACATGTTCCCATATAAGTCCCATATGAATCATGTTTTCCCACCACTACCCTACTCACTCCAAAATCTGCAATCTTAACAACTCCTTCAGCATTTATCAGTAGATTTGAGGGTTTTATGTCCCCATGTACTATCTGCTTCTCATGGAGATACTGTAACCCATTCAGAATGCACCGTGCCACACCAGATATGACATCCTCAGGCAATATTCTGTTCACAAGCAGAACATCATGCAGTGATCCTCTTTCCATGTGCTCCATTGCAAAGTACAAGTCATCCTCACTATCAAAAACAGCATGGCACTGGACAACGTAAGGTGAATCCACGCGTCTAAGGATCTCTGCCTCCCTTCCTGCTTGTTGTCGAATTATGGTGGAGTTTCGGTCGAAACGGAGGGTTTTCAATGCAAATATGGAGGAGCTGCGTTTGTGCCGTACTTTATAGACCGTGCCACTATTGCCATGGCCAAGAACCGCCAGTTTTTCCAGGTCTGAGAGCTTCTCTATGTTTGGAGAATCTGGACTAATGGTCAATGAAAATGACGGCAAATGGATCTGATGCCGGAAGTCAGCTGCAGGTATGGTTGGTGGTAGGGATAGCCTTAGTGGTTGTTGGTGCCTTCTCTCTCTCACGAAAGTCATTTTCACACCTCTTGCTTCTTCTCTCATCTCTGTGCCCAGACACTAAGCAACATTGTGGATAGGTACGGCAAAACCTTAGCCTAGCCGTTATATACACATGCGACTAGAGAGCTTTTGGGGGCACACACGTGCATGCTTGGCTACAGGGGGGTAACAAGTGGCTGTAGCAATCGCAACATCCACGGACAGGTGAGGTTTTTTC